CGAAAGAACGAAACTTCAATACTTAATTTACGGAGACCGGTTTACGCTTGAAACTATTCGTCGTGCTGGCCTTTCGATCTCACGCTCCTCGATACGTCTTAGATTTAAGTTTATTGTCGTCGGAATGAAAATTTTATGCTTCGACAGATTACACAGCAGACGTTTCCTTGCCAATCTTGCTTAAAATCCGTCTATTCCTTTCGCTTGAACTATTCCTTAGTTGAGAGAATTGAAAGTTACTGTCGTGTTAAATGCGGAATCTTCGAGGAACGTTTTTAAATTATATAGATTTTTTAAAGGTGTATTATTTTAGAAATGACACACATTCTTTAGAAATGTGTCGTTTAAAGGTATGTGCATTCACTTGTTAAAGTTACACACAAGATCCAAATTATCTTGTCGTCTGTCCGCAATTTATTAACACGTTCACTGCCATGAGAATTTATTAGAAATGGTATTAGAATTAATTAGCTATGATTAATCTAAATAAGTTATAATATTATGAATTACTCATGTTACTAAACATTTTAGTTCGATGTCAGTGTTATTCTTGTAATTGTTTTCAAGTAATTTGGACGACGAATTCAACAGGAGAGGAATTAAAAATCAAATCGATTAAAGATATTCGTTGAATCTTTAAATCTGTGGAATTATCTGTAAATTCTTGTACTTCAATATTTTGTTATCCACACATCATATAATGAATGGTATCGCTGTACGTTTACAAGTGGAGCTCTACCAAGGATTCTACCTTGAGATCCATATCGAGACCTATTGTATACCAAACATTTGTCTGATAAAAGAATTCATTAATGATAGAAACAAAGATTATTAATTTAACACTGAAATGGTGTTGAAATTGACGAACATCAATTTGTATATTAGTTTCATTTTAATCGTTCAAATGTTTTTCAGTGAAATTAACGTTGACAAAGTTAACACAATACCCACGAAATTTCAGTGAAATTGATGTTTATTGATGCAACGTACACCTAAAATATCTAGACCTACTTCTTGGGCTTTAACCATAATTTTCTCCGGTACTTTAATGAAAAATGTACGAATGGCTCGAGTCACGATAACGCGATGCTAATGCATTTTTCCTTTATTCTTAATCTTCATTAACCTTTATGTACCTACACTTTGTTTCCCATAAATAATACAGTACAAACTGGAACATTATACATAAAGGTGAAAATACTTCAAAATGAAAAAAATGCGATGTTGAAGATTTGGTCAGATACCGGTCAAAGAACTGTAATGAATCCAAACTACTGAACATTAAACGTGTGGATGAAAAACATAACGACGTTGTTACCGCGATTATAATTCATAAATGTCATGATTATTTTTAAAATCACATATAATTAATAAGAATGTGATAAATTTCTTACATTAAAATGTTTTATTTGAAGTTTTTCTTTGTTCCTCTTTAACTTGGAACAAAATATTGTCTTTAATATAACCTTTTTCCAAAGTTAAAAATCTTCTCTTCTGGGCTTAAATTAATACATTTTGGATTTCGTTCCATAACCAGATCTATGTATAAATATAATTATAATCATCTTTTATGCATTTATTTTTTCTATGTACAGAACAATGCACATGGAAATAAAAACTTTTAAATATAGGCCGAAGTTTTATTGTACCGTTATTACGAGACGTATAACCCAAAAAATTCGGAACATTTAATACATCCTTTTCTCTGATACGAAGAATAGAATTTATGAAAAGAAACTTTAATTGCTAGCCTTCCCGATAATCTAAGTTTCTAGTTGAAAAATAATAGCAGCTTGTAATCCACGATCAGCAACATCCGATGGATGAAAACGTGATTAGTCTGCTTATAGCATGCAAAATTATTATCTACACTTGCCGTTATCGTAATTAACTCGGCTTATCTTTTCTGCCCGTTCCTGAAGTGGCGATACCACTTGCACCATTTTTATGTTATCTTGCGATCTCTCGGCTAATATAATTCAATGCAGAGTGGTTTAAAAATAAAGTGCGTCCATGATCTTTCATAATCGAATCTTCATTCATATTTTCAGATTTAGAGTTTGATTTCCGTATCTAATATCTCTAAATACATCATCTAGTACATCAATTATTTTGTTGTAATTTTTATATTATTTATTTCTAATTCGCGATATACCTACGCATACTACAATAAGTAAAAATTAATTTTGCTATACTCTTTCGTTAAGTTTCATTTAGGTTAGCGGAAGGATAGCTTTTTACTTTGGAAATACTATATCCTGAGAAATATACAAAATGGAGATGAATATTTTTTAGTACATTCTTTTTTAATAAACATCTATATTTTCTATGTAATTCGTGTTACTCTTAAACTTCGGAATTATTTGTAAGATTTTTCGATTATTCTTTTTGTTCTTCTTGATTCTACCAATTAATTACTATGTAACAATTCTATAAGTATTAGTAACTGTGTCCAATAGCTCCTTTGAGAATAAATTTATAATGCATTATAATTACTACTTTACATCTTATTTCATTTTCTCTTTCTTACATTCATGTTCTTTATTAAAACGTTTTCGTTCTTCTTTGTAATGCTATTTGTACTCTAACGAATGGTAATTCCCATGACATCTAAAGAAATAAATATATTACCGTATAAGTACTTACAAACGAGATTATTCGTTCTGCTGTTTATTCTAATTCGTTATCTGATGCGGGAATATAATGAAATGGAGGTATCTCCGTTAGCGAATGGTTTGAAGTTCAGCATGGTGGTGAGCAAACAGGGTCGACCTGAAGTTTGCGTGTCAGTACGACTTTCACGACTGTCGTGTCGCGAAGGAGAACATGTCAACAATCACGACTTCACTCTGTTATACTGACACATAGTTCACTATTTATCTTTCGCAGTTACCCCAAGTTCCAACCAAAACAAGGTGATATCACGCACAAAAATGTTCATCACTACCCTTACGCAAACAATGAAAACAGCTCGATACATTAAGCTACGATCTCAACGTAGACGAGCCATTAATTTCACAGAAAAAAAACACAGACAAATCGAAGTTACAATAATTTAACGGAGATGACTAGACGAAACAAGAACTCATTTCTGCCAGTAACTCTACAATGCTTAATTCACGATGAAAGTATTTACTGAAAAATAATGATCTTCTACGTGAAAGTTTTAATACATTTGCCACTATTCAAGCGAAGGCGTAGAAGCAATATCTATTTAAACGAAACACTCCATTACACCAATAATTAAAGCAACCCTCCAGTAGCATGGCTCAACCTCGATTCGCTTTAACCTAAATCTCCACTTAAAATAAAAAAATTCGATAACAGGGCCTCCTACAGGAAGGAAACGGCTATCGGGTAATATGTGTATAACGCTAGACGCGAATACAATGGCAACTTGAAAAAAGAGAATTCCAAAAGGAAAGAGACTCGCCGCAAACTTATAAGAGAAGCTAATAAAACAACAGCATCGTCGGTATGCCTTTTATCCCCTGGTAACCTGGCAAAGGAACCGTTGTCGCAATAAGGGTAGGCGTTGCCGGAACAAGCTTTCTAATCGAACTCCGCAAGATCGCGAACTCCCGTCGACCGTTGCGTCGCCGGCCTTTAAAATACTATCGCGGCCGTCCTCAAAAGAGGAGCCGAGCTGGCGCGACGGCCTCGTCTATTCGAGAGAACGTGATCTATCAAGCAAACACAGAACTACCCCCGAATTCGAGCCAAGACGGCCAGAACAGCTGGAAGTGTTATAGCAAACGTAATAAGTTACGTCACTGCAAAGGTGCAGATGCACTATTAATTTGCGACATATTTTGTTTGATAGGATTTCTAGAAGTATTTTATATTAGTTTTCTTTAGTTCTATTTTTAGTTCTATTTCCTTACAAGAATTTTAACTTTCTATTTAATAATACAGGTAAGCATATTAGAACGATAGAAATATATTCCTTGCATAATTATTTGTATTGCAACAATTGATGATTCGTTGATATAAGTTTCATCAGAAAGAAGTTCATCTGATAAAAATGGTAATGTTTGTGGTAGTTTTAAAAATAACTATTATAAAGTCTCTATTGACTTATGTTTTAGTTTGCGCGTTACTAAATCAACTGTTCTTTAATCGTTTCTCAAAAAAGCGTCTGTATCTCTCCGACGATCGTAAAAGAAGCAATCGGAAATGGGTCACTTTGACCCAAATGGTAGACCTACCGTTAATCGCGTTGAGAAAGTGGAGAGACTCTTTCCTACTGCCTTGGAAAATAAAGGATTTTACAGCCTGTCGATCGCGTCATCTATTTCCGTTGCACATTTTTCTGATATCAAGTTCGTTTCTCAAGAACGATGAAAAGCACTGACACTCGAGGTGATCGACAGCTGATTCGTGGCTCACAATGCTTGGGCTCACCTTGGACGTCAGCGTTCTTTAGATAGGGACCCGGAGTGATGACACTCCACGCGATGCGTCGAGTTCGCTGCCACTATGTCACGTTTACTCAAATTAAAGGCGAACGCTTGTCACGCGATACATCGGAATCAATACACTTACTATTAAACGATCTTTTTTTCATGTAACTTTTCGCCCTCAGAAATCTAGATCAAAGCTATAAAAGCTCAAGCAGAAAACCTACACGAGTATCATAACCAACATATCGTTGCGAAACGAAAAACTATGCTTAAGTTTATACTTTGCCAAAATATTAGTGGAAAGTTGCTTTCAGTAGTTCTATTTGCACTTATATATAATTAAGTATATTATTTTGCAAATACCTAATGTCCTCTTTTTGCAATTATTAAAAAGATAACGAACTTTTCTCTGAGAAATTATTAAAGAAATGGATTCAGCACCACGCAAACTGAATTATAAATCAAGTAAAGTCTCAACAGATGCATTCTTCAAGTTTCTATAGAGACATTTCAAAAAGTCAATTTATCTGCTCGGTAGTATTAATATTAAAAGATATTTAAACATATTTTATAACTTACCATTTACTGAATCAGCTCTCAGAAAACAAGAATTCATCAAACGTCTAAAACTCTTTCCATGAGAAAAATTAAATCGTACACCAAAGCCGTAGAAACTAAAACAAAAAAGTTACTTATCAACTCTGTCCGAAGTAAAGCTACTAAATCTCGAAGTCATTACAGGGTCGTTCTACCGCGGAGGGTTAATAATCCGCAACAGCCGACGGTACGAGCGTCGATAACTAATAAAAACGAAATAAAAGGAAATGAATATCGAAGTACAAAGATAAAAAACGAATATATCGAACGAGCGGGGATGAGATCTATAAAGTTCCCAACTTACAGGCGCATTTGCCGCGACACTTGTTGCAAGCGTCTCGTTTCTTTGCCGGGTATAGATACACGTCCCGACGAAATCTATACAACATTTAACGTATTGTCAGTTTGATATATTGGCAGTAGAAGATAACAAGGCTCCAAGGCAGATGCTCGCATCTCACGTGCATTTTACGCCGCGAGTGAATCGAGGTCGTTCATAGTGCTCGCGGAGACAATGGACTTGAAGCTTTACTTCGGATCGTTGCGTTGTGCCGCCATTTTGAGTTGTCTCGCAGACGCCGCCGAATTTCCCCGCGCCATAATTCGTCGTCCACTATTTTACCATCGCGTTTCATTTTTCTCCACGTCTACGAAAGCTTTTATCTGTTTGCGATAACCGTTATATACAAGCTTTTAGCAAAATATTCGTACTGCGAAACTTCTCCGACGTGGGAAATATTTTTTTTCGGCTAATCAAGCATGCACGATATTGATTAGTGTATGCTAGGGGTATGTAATAGAGAATGAATCGTATTTTTTATTTACAAAGTAGGAAATTTAAGAATGAGATAAAGGTTATATAGTTGTTAGCATATTGAATATCGCACGATTTCATGGAGCAACATATACAAAATAGGAAAATATAATATTAAATTGTTCCGTTGAATTGCGGTATTATTATTGCACTTGCATTACTGAAGATCACTTTAGGTTAAGGCTACAGATAGTATTATTTATAATATACAAATGTTTGTGAATCATCCATTTTTTATTGAGCATGGTAAATGGAAATTATTATCTTATGTTTAATGAATCAACTGAAAATGAGAGATGACACGGTTTGAAAATACGGGATCGACGCATTGTTACACTTTTATTTATTAATTCGTGATAATAAATATTTTTGTTTCTATTTGTATAAGATTTGGGAGTATCTTTTCAAATTCGTAATACTTATATTTACTTCCATTATAAAGAATGCATGTAGAAATTTTTCATATTTTTATCACTTTTTGAAAATTGATTACGTTGAATGATAAAGTTTGTGCGAAAAAGAGATTTTAAATAAATGTGTAGAAAATTAAAGCAGTTTATTATCTAAAGGAAAAGTTCATACGTTAATGTGTAATCTCCGGATAAGATAAGTTGTAAAGCTGATTAATGTTGTAGAAAGGTATGATAGAACAACCCATTTGCAAGCATCAAGGCGCAAACACGTTACACTGTTTACAACAGGTTGTAATAGGATTTATGAAGCTTTGCATGCAGGAATTATGGGTGATACGTTTATCGATCGAGAAATACTTGTAACATGTAAAAGAAAATCCATATTCTTTTTACGTATTTTACATTAATGCATTTTAAAATTCATTTAGCGTCCATTAAAGTTGAAAATTTTTCTAAAGTTCAATACATGTTAAAAGTAGTTAGTGTATTGACAATATAATTTTTGTCTTGAATCACTTAAAAGATCCCAGGCCCATGTATTTAAATCGAATCATTGCAATTTAATAATATGATTGAAAGAGTGTGCATTATTTTTCACAACTAGAAGAAAGTTTTAATATAGCACATCCTAAATAAAAAAAAAACTGATAAACGGACTGTAAAATGTAGGACAGTAAAGTCAGCTTTAACCCGCTCGCGGGAGTCCCCACGGAGATAAACTTCCCTAATACGGGAAATTAGGATTTAGTTTCTAGTTTCAAGTTCTCTGAAGTTATGCTTTACTTTCGGAACCAATAAGGCTAAGAAAATATAAGCCTTATGAAAAAACTTTCTTCCTTTGGATCAAAATTCTTCGTTATGACGGAAACATGGAACATCACTTGTTGTTACTTGTTTTCCTCTCGTAAAAAGTAAGGAATGAAACAGATAATTGATCATTTTTTAATGGACAACAATTAATTATGAAATAGAATACATTTTTTTAATCTATCAATTTCGTATCGGAATTAATAAAGTTTGTTTTTTCATTGTTATCAAAACTCATTACTTGCTTTTGGGTTAGTATGTTTGAATCGGGTCAAACTAAAATTTTTTCACATGATTAATAAATATCAGATTATCATTTCTACATACATTTAAGTGCATAATCAATGGGACAGCTTTCTTTATCTTTTATTATTTCTGCTTACTAGTTATTAAATGATTTGTTTTGCATAAAAAATGTTTAAAGTCAAAATAATATTGTGTAATTGTTGTCGTTATTGACATTATTATAATATTCAAATTTTTTTCCATTTAGGTGATTCTGCAAAGGTCTGAATAAAGGATCAGATGACTCCGTCGGATCCATTTGTTAGCATTTAGATAGAATTTGCTTCACAATAAAACTGAATGGAATGCAGCAAGATTGCATATTAAATTGTATGAGTAAACTATTGATGTTTATGCAAATTTATATTTTCATAATTTACTTCGTGACGTTGGAAAATAAAGAAAAATTGAATTTTTAGAGGATTTGGGAGTATGCGAAATATTTGATAGAGTTAATTGAGGATATTATTTTCATTCATTATTTCAAACAGGATTCAATATTTGTTGTTGAGAAAATTAAAACCAAACCATGTCACCTATGCCAATTACAATACAACAGTTTATTCATTTAACAATTAACATCTCCTGTTCAGTTTTTAATCAAGAAATTCATGCTATTCGGTGCACACAATTTCAGTCAAAAGGAAATTTAATTGAAGCTTATAAAGCTTAATTAATCATGACGCTATTGTACAATCATTGTTCATGACAGGAATAATCAATAAAATAGGAATTAAACGATTTTAATTAAATTATCGAGATCAACAGGAACTCGGCATATGAAACTACTGATTAATTGTTAATAAAAACGTCCACTTTGTAAAGAAAAAGAAATAAAGAAAAAATGTTTCAAACATTGTGTATCTTGCCATTTTATATAAAAGTTATCGATCTACCAAACGAACGAGAAAGTAACAAATCAACTGGAGATGAAACGAAATAATCATGACAGGTTGAATAATCTTCAATAAAGAAACAAACACATTCGATAAGGCTTCTTTGTAGTCACATTTAGAGTCAGTCAACTGCGACACTCATAACAAAAGATTGACGAAGCTTCCAAATTGCTTGAAAACAATTGTAATACGAAAACAAACATTGAATAATAATATATAATAACCTAAGTAACTAGATAATAGTGTAACTTAAGAACTACGGTAAATACCAAATTGTTAATAATTATTAATTGTTCTTACCTAAAGTATAATGGTTGCAACGCCTCGGCAGCGCAACCCGCTTATCACGGCATAGAATTCGCCGCGTCCGCGAGATGGCCGCGGGGTCGAATAATTGTGGCTGTCTACCACATTTGAATCGATTGTCAATTTTATAAATTGAACGCTCGTTCTCAACAACAATTCTTCACTTTAACGCGTTGAATGCCATGGGGGTCACCGGTGATTCAACCAAATCGAATTAGTGTAGTTGATTCAATTAAACGACGATTATTTGTTAACATTTCTATATCATAAACAATGCTACCCAATGCTATAATATTCAACTAGATGAACGTGCAATAACAGTAACTCAATTCAATCAAATAACTTATTATATTTTTTCATTTTGTATATTTTGCTCTATGAAATCGTGCGGCATTCAACGTGCTAATGAAGTCTATCATTGAAATCAGACATGATGTTAAACAGTTCATTTAATATAAATTCTAATCGACATAATTAGTCGAATTAACAGATACCTTATGTCGAATAAGAATGTTTAACAGCATAAATAACCAGATGACAGCCTGACGTAAGCATTTCGATACCAACTAATAAATAACTGTTGTTCTTTATCTTTGCTACAAAAGAAGCGATATACAAAACTGAAGGTTTCCGTGACAGCAAACGTGTTAACCATATAACATCGCCGATAATTCCCGCCATCAGAAGTGTATGCCTTCGCTCAAAAATATTACCCGATGACGCGACACCTAGGAGAGCTTGATAACGCTTCAGTGGTGTTTCGCATTCAAGACACTGCACCTTGCTCTATTCGACGCCTTCATTTCAAAAATGTGATCTGTAAACACAACAGCCAAAAAACGGCCTATTAAGGCTCATAATGAAGCATTTCGAATTCTGTCCAGCACGTGTTTGCTCTACGGTGTGCCGAACAAATTTTGCAATGGTCGCGAAGGAATTTCGGGCATAGGGTACAGGGCAATTGAATTGAAAAGATTTTCGTGCTTGAAATCAGTCGAGTTCTTAGGACTATTTTACTCATCATAGACCCACACTCGTAGAAAAGAATCCGTGATTTTTGTCATTATCTGCTTAGAAATGGAAAAACAGAATGATCGCACTTATTTCGAATTCTTTTTTATGTGAAAATCGAAAAGCTTAAGCTTCTGAGATGAAACGGAAGAAGCGTGATCTGTACGCTTGACATCTTCGACAGGTTTTTGGGAAGATCCGTGGCACTCAAACGATTAACACGTTGACTACCACAAGAAACGTCAACGTTTTATGTATTGCTCATTCTTTCTGTAGCAAAGATTAAAAAGGAAGAATTATTAGCTATTTGGTATCAGCATTCTTACATTACACTAGTGTCTAATTATTTACATTACTGAACATTTGTATTTGACATTAGTTGATCTTATAAGTTATAATTATCTTCTATTTGGATGATCCGGTCATCAGTAACCCCCATGGCAGTCAACGTGTTAACTACTGTTTAATGTTATATTATATTACTATTACTGTGAAAATATCGTTTAACATGTTACCGTGTAACACATCTATGATTTATATTTATTTATTTATTACCAACTGAGAGTTACGACTAATTGGATAACCCACTCTCGGAGTGCTCCGACCGGAAAGGGCTGTCGTCTGTGGACAGTACTTGCACGAGTGATTGGGATTCCGGGATCTGGTTGTCCGATCCGGTAGACTTGGGAATTAACTTTGCTTATTATTGAATTACACGACAATGCGGTGTCCCGGTGATCACGGTGCCGGATCGTATCGGTTTCACGCCACGATCAGCAGACTCGTTAGAGCCCGATAACGCGGTTAGACGTTTCACGAGAGTCGTTCCACGCACGCCCCGATCCGTCAACGGTGGAATCAAGGAACAAAAGATTACGGCACGGCGGAAGATTAGTTCGGTTGAACCGATCAGGAGATTGACGTCAACGTTCACCTTGACGCGTAACGGTGCCGTGGATGATTGCAACGTCGCCGGTGACTTTCCCGAAAGTAGCTCCGCCCCGATCGATCGTTATCAGCGCTGATTACGCGTTATTACTTCTTATTTATCGTAGATTAAGGAAGGATTAACCGCCACACATTGTGGCCCACGACACTTTCTGCTCGCGGTGGTCACTGTAAAAATAGAAATGGCGATTATGTCACTCGTTGCTTCGAGAGTAGACAACGAAGTTCTATTAGCACATTGTTAACTGGCAATTTTACGCGGAAGCTATCCTATGTCACTGGCTATTATTCCGTAATTGAATATGAAAGTGAAACAATCTAAATAAACTTCAATGCACTTTATTTGTACATGATGAACCGAAATTGGATTCATTTTGGTTATTCACTTTGGACTTATGGTTTATGTAACTTTGAGTATTTTGTTTTTGCAATATTCTACATTGCCCTGCATTTCGAAAATTGAAATGGCTAATGCAAGCGCAAACACGAGTTAACAATGTGTTAAATTTCAATTCAAATTCAATTATTGAAGCTACGTAATGCGATGACGTTTAGCAAGGGAACCTGCTGTAATAACAACGCAATTCGATTTAATAATTTAATATTGTACTTTTCCATTTTGCATATTTCGCAGCTTAAAACTGAGCGACAGTCAACGTGTTAATCGTTGTGGTTGGGTTGGTTTCTATGCTATTATTGTTCATTTTTATACTATTCTGTTAGTAATATACAATCCTGTGCCATTATTTTCTATATTATTATAGTCTGTTATATTGTACAATAATACTGAACTAATTAATTTTAGTATGTATATTTACTGAATGATGCTATTTGTCTAGAATATATTTGTGACTTTAAATAGTTACTTCTTCAGAAGTAGAAGGATAATATGGAAACCGGTTTGAATTTTCCTGTTTTCCTTCTATAGGCGCACGTTAACGTTATTTTTCTTAAGATTTTGTGACGATCATTAAGGGTGCAGAATATAATTTATACTTTTGGAGTAGCTTTTACAAGGATCAAACAAATTAAGAGCAACTGAGGGCAAGGAACAGTTTCAACCACTTTTGATTAATTGAAATTAATGATTCCAAATTGCTAAACAGACACACAGCAAACTATCTTCAATCTATGAAATTATTTTAAAAATAAGCAAACGAGTAATATAAGTGTTGGGTGAAATTTACATATCGCCAGCGTAATTTCGTTTACCATTCATTACCATAATCACGTAATTCATCGATTTCTTGGGAACATTCAGCGAACAATGGAACATCATTCTCAGCAATAAAAGAATACTGCGAAGAATAAAAGCTTAAACGAATTATTAATTTTCCCATGAGTCAGTTACTCGAATCGACGTCATGCATCGCGTGCAACAATCTTAACTTGATGTTTGTGTATATCTTAAATTACATCTACTGTACAACACTGGATTACAGCGAAATGTGCGTCATTGCACTCAAATATACATGTTATCTCGAGTTAGAAAATCTTATTATATAAATGGTTTCCTCTCTCGTGCATTTCAGTCGTTTCGATCCGAAGCGAACGGAAGGATACCGATTAAGCTTTTGGTTATTTCTCCGACGAAGAACAAAAACGTAAGGCTATAATAAAATATGAATTCAATCACTTTGCAGGTGTTTGCCATTTTTGGGATGACTTCAAAATTAGAATTCTTTTTTTCTTAGCAATTAACAATATCACACTACTAATGTTCACGACAATCAAATATAATTATATTATCCAATAAATTACTGAAAACTCTGCAATACAATTAAGATATGAAATGTACGTATAACATCTAATTTCAATGTCGAGGAAGATTAACAGTAACATAGAAATGATAAACCAAAAACATGAATTTTAATAAGCAAAGGTAATAAGTATTTGAATATTGCTGTTATTGTTAAAATTTATTAATTTCTTCGATGTTTAACCGAATCTCGTTAAATAATAGAGAATCGTGTTTGAAGGCAACCTAAAGAAAAGTTTCGTAACTAAATGTTTTGCTCTTTATGCGTGGTTATAAGAAAAGGAACCGGAAGTTTGTTTGATAATTTACATATGAACAAAAAGCGGGCATTTAATATCGAACACGTGCCGACATATTTGAATTAAACCAAGTTTGTGTCTTCACGGCGGCCTTGTAAATATCGAGGCTACGTACAAAGCAGCTCGATAAAGGCAACCCGCGATTACTTTTTACTGGCGAGATAAAATAAGGGTCGGTCGCTCGAGACAATCGACCCTGATCGCCACTCAATGGAAAATGAGTATTAACATGTTACACACGTATATGGACATACACTTAACAACCCCCCTATTTCTCTCTGTTGCAGATCGACAAAATGCCACTCTCGGAGTTCCGCAAGAAGAAGCTCCTCTACATTTTCAACACCTTCTTCGGTGAGTACGTAATACGTCACCGATCCGAACAGAGCGCAAAAGTGATCTTGTTAACGGATATCAGAATTTCACCTAAAGTAGGGACAACAATTTTTCAACAACCTTATACTCCAGTAGAAAGGAAACTTTTGATTATTAAGTAATTCAAACGAAATAACTATATTCGTGGCGAAGATTTAAAAAAATCCAACAGAATACCACTGTGCTTCAATTTCTTTGCAATTCGAATTAAATATTATTTTGTCGTCCTATAAATAATGTTTCTTTATAGGCACTTCTTTTATTTTCCAAAATTAAGATAAAAATCTGTCTATAATTGTTAAGGGAAACTATATTTTGTATTAATACATGTTTTATCTTAATCTTTAGAAATAAAACAACTCCCTATGGATATAACTACATTGTTTATTGGAATGACCCAATAATATTTAATATGAACTGCAAGAAACTGGAACAGTTGTATTTAAATTTTGAAGGTGACCTAAATCTTCTTTCTTTTTATTCTTCCAATAAATGAATAACGTCAACCTAATTTTAATCCAAGCAAAATTTTACACACAGTGCCGTTCTGTACCATCATACCCCGTCTGATAAGCCAAAATTTCGCCGACAGTCAGTCAATAATTTTCTCCCGGTGTTCCGCGGTTCGTTCATCCGGTAACGAAATGGCGAAGGCCGATTGTTCTCCCAGGATCCTGATGGGTTCCCCGTATCGTTCACGGATCGGGGAACCCCCGGTAACGATCTTATATCACTCATCGCCTCTTAAGCCTCCTACACACGTTGGAACGTGCATCGACTCTTGGGTGTCATGAGACCTATATCAACGTCAGTCTGCCTTTACAGCTTGTCACGAGACGCAAACAATGAAACACGTGCTTCAAAATGTCAGATTGTTTTCTGACTCTAATATTATCATCATTAATAGAAAATGTTGTTTTTTATTATTATTATATAGTATACAATTTAAGAGTAATTTTCATTTTTGCGAGTAATCGATGATAATGACACTACTGTGACGTCAGTATGATATAACGATACATTCAATGTTATTTGCTACGAATACTCTTTAATCGTCAATAATGACTTGCTACCTTTGCTGCATTATCTATCTTATCTATTTGCTACCTAGTCGATTTTCTACCTTTACTGCGAATATTCTTTAATCATCAATAATGACTTGCAACCGTTGCTACATTGTCTATCTTATCTATTTGCTATCTAGTCGATTTGCTACCTTTGCTACGAATACTCTTTAATCGTCAATAAAGAAGAATTCAAGGATAAAAAATAATGGGTATAAAGATGGTTGATTCGTACCTGCGTTCTAGCGTTAGAGGATAGCAAATTAGCATCGCAAATGAAATGGGAACAGATAGAAGTCGACCAATCAAGCCTGTATTCCCAGATCTAGCCTTTTAGCGATCGCCCGAAGTTGGATTGTAACGTTTATCGCAAAACCTGGGGATCGATTCGATGCATCGCAACATGTTCCAATGTGTGTAGGGGGATTTACGAAGCTATCGCGGTCTGGCAACGGTAGCCGGGCCACTGCTACTTCCAGGAGAATGAAATACGGGTCCAGCGAGTTGAAGTGGTGCCCGGCAACCGACATCATCTCGAAGGTATTTTCGGGGCAAAAGGGGAGGGGTCTGGGAGAGGAGGAATGAAGGTTATACGGGGACATTCAGTTCAGTCTCTCTATGACACCTATGTGTTGGCCATTCGAGCAAAAGTGAGCCAGGCCGGACGGGCGCCTATTTATGGTACGAACAGGAGGAGATAAACAATGGACGCGGTTAAGGGGATGCCTCGGCCCCGCTGAAATTACACGTCTGCCTCTCTCTGTGCGCATATCTTCGGAACACATAATGGCGCGCGCGCAACGGGGCAATCATTCATACAAGTTGGACGCACTCCTGCGTGCGTGTACTTTAGAGAGACTCACACGGACGACCGCGTCTTCTGCGTACGGTTTGAGAAGTACTCCACGGAGATGAGAAGTTGGACGAATAGAATTGACCCTTTGTTCTATGGATTCTTTCGTAAGCTCAATGAAATTTGTGTGTGTAATTTAGTGGAAACACAGTTCTATGTTGTATATATATTTACAGTTATTTTAAAGGATAACGATTGCTGATTTAAATAATAGTTCGGGTTTAAAATATTACGGTTGTATTTCATTTTGGTTATTTTTGATTGAGATTTTAAGCCTGACGCGCTATTGCGTGGCAAGGGGTTGAAACTAGAGACTAGAATTTCTTAGAATGTTAAGAACTTTTTCTATAGAAAAGGAATTTATGTATCAATGTATTAAATATAAGGAATGGAGATATGTACTGATCTTTTAATGGGGCCAATATGGCGACAGTCTTTCTTAAAGGGTTAATATATTGACTAACTTGGTAGGTGACCAGCGCTTTCGAATTATTTGAAAAAAGTTACAAGAGAATTATTATCGATAGACATGTTTAATACTACAGGTAACTACATAATAGTGTAACGTAAATACTATGATACCACATAATTAATAATTGTTGCTAATACCAATAATTAGGAATTACCTTTGTGTTGTATACCGAATGAAAATATCGACAGTCGAAAATATTCTATGATATAAATATATTTCAATAAGTCACTCAAATATTACGATACATTTTAGATAGTGAAGATGTCGCGAATACAAGATTTGCTGAGTAGCGAGTTTGCCAGAGTTTCGGTACTGAAATTTGAATTCGAATCTTCATGTTCTTTTCAATTCGGGTATTTATATACTGAAATATGGAGTGGAAAGGACGAGGATGACCAAGCGTTAGAAATGAGCCCTGAACGTCGTGATTAATGGATTGAGAGTGGCTCTGTAGAAGATGCCCAAAAATACTGAGTCATTAGGACAACGTACACTGAATCATTAGGGTAACGCAGCGCGTTGCAGATAACGTGGATTGGTCATCCAATATTTGTTACGATAAACTAAGAATAAGTGATATACATAAAAAGCGCTCGACACTCATGTAGCAACAAACACATTAAAACTCTAGACTGCTCGCTTAGCTTACAACCCTCTCAGAAGACTCAAACTTCTTCATCATGCAATATGTTTAACGAGAAATTAAATTTTCTGGGTTTCTTCACTGGCAACTTCAATTAACCAGCGAAATTTCTACTTTGTAATTAAATTCTTACTTTATCGTTCAGAAACATCAACTGCTGCGCGTGAATGCATGTCACGCGCGAAAGTATCTGGAACAACACCCGGAAGTGGATATCACGCGCAATTAGCAAGCGAAACTTGCGAACGGAACTTGAGGTTGAGTCACGCGTGCACGTAGGGATGTTCCGACCCAAGTAAATACGATTAACGTGTCAATACTTTTATTTCTATACCGGACACTGTTAGTATCTATGCTTTTGTATCGAAAAATGCATTCGTATCGAATGAAGAAAGCATCAAAACGAACGTTTAGCTGAACAAGTATTAGGAAAACTAATATTTACCACTTTCCTAACAACCAAAGTACCTTCCCCTTTAATCTAGAGAAACCATCTATCAGAACTTTAAGTTTTCCAATTATTATAATACATTCCTAGTACACATCAACTAAATTGTAATACATGCATTAAGTATATGCTAATTTTGATTAAATACAAGTATTATATCGTATAATACAAAACACCGAATTTATCAGTCCCAAATTGATCATTCAACTGATTAATAATTACATATTTAAGAGGCCTAAGTTGTTTCGTGTTTGTTAACAAAACTGCGTACGAGAAAATGATGTAATTTTAATAAATGTTGGCTTGAATGAAAGAACTGATTGAATAATCCAACAGTTCGTATTAGAAAATACTGATGTTACTTCCGATACTGAGCTGATATCGATACTTTTCTTTCAATATTGATCTGATATTGACATTTCCCTTCGATAAGAGTAATACCTATCATCGTGATACCTTCACGATATCGGAACATCCCTACGTACACGCAAATCGAGAACTGAGCTCAGTGTTCAGTGTTCACATCGCATCATCGTTCACACCGTGTCGTTTCTCCGCCGTGTGTGCAGCGTGGAGGTCACAGGCGTGTACACGCTTCGAGGCGCTCATTAGCCCCTTACTTTCTTCCCTTCTTTGGCCGTCGATCGACTGCTAAACATATCCTACGAGGCTGTTCTTCGTCGTCGATATAGTATTTCACCGTGACCCAGAGAACCCAGGGATGATGGGACGAATCACGTATCTTCATGTGTTTTCTGGACATTGCAAAAGTATCTTTCCATGGTTACGGGACTATCGATACGGGGTTGATAGTGAATTATTTGTTGTGTCGATGGTAGCTTGCTTAATAAAAATTTGACCACAATTTTCTTTTTAAGTGAAAATACAAAATGCGGTGGTGTCTAATGTATCTTTATTTCTAGTGTATCTAATTGTAAATAGAGTACAATTCTATTGAATTTTTATCTCCAAGTACTACAAAAAATAAAATTACACGAAGTCCGAGTGGTTATATTCTTGTTTGGGAATAAATCTATTCTTTTGGTTTTAGAGAAAGTTTCTAGATTTTTAAATGTGTAATTTTATACTTTTGTTAAAAGAATTTTACGAAATAGAAATTTAATGTATGATTAGGTGAATTAGGTACGTTGGGATAAAATAATATTAGGTATCATTGCAATTTTGTGTTTCATAAATTCTTAAAGATTTTCGTAATTTTAAGGTACAAAAGGAAGGTAGTCGAGCTTGGATTTATGATAGAAAACTAACATTGTTTCTTTAATTGATTAACGAAGAATTTTTAGTGTACGCAAATCAAGTTTTTGGATAATTTTTTTTCAAGTAACAGCGTGCTTGCAGCTTGTTTGAGAAAGTTTGAAATAATTATAAAATTTTGTTGAGTATGGGTAGACTTTGCTCAACGAATAAATATCGAAGTCAACTTTGTTCTTATAAAGTCACGCACAGGTGAGCTCGACTTTTTGGAGCATAATAGTGTACGTGGTCATCCGCTGTTAATAAACGTGGTAAAAATAAGTCAAAAAGCGTGGACTGAAATTTTTTCATACGTACTTCCGTTTTAGGAGAATGGACTTCGTGTATTTATTAAATGCGCGTGCTGTTTAATAAAACTCAACTAATGTATCCTTTTATTGCACGCTGTTTCCGTGTATTGCAAACATGAACACGTGTATGTTAAACAACACTATTTACTAAATAATCTCTCGAGACGTTATTTTTTCTTTTAGATCTTTTAGAAAGATATGTGCACAGGTACACCATTGAAATTATTTCTAAAATTGTTTTCTTTATCTCTGTGGATTATTTGTATTAATAATAAATATAACTTTAAATAATATGAAGAGGTAGAAAATTACGAACAATTGATTACAATAGTAGAATTAGCAGTTGTCAATTTTGTACAATATTTAAAAATGAAACTGAGTTATTTACCTTTTAAACATAGATATAGAATAAGCTTAATATTTATTTAAAAAATCACGGGACAAGGGGTTAACATGGTAACTGCCACGGTAGTCACTGACGACTTCGAAATTGCCTGAAAACAATTACAATATTTACAAGAATCAACATAGAGCATTTAATATCATAACTAGATAATAGTGCAACCTAAGAGTTATAACGCCAAATAATTAACAATTGCTTCTACGTATCTTCGTTACAAATCAATAAGCGACTCACAAAACGCCCAAAATTCTCGTGGTCAACGTGATAACCTGTTAACTGTGGAATTTACTTTGAAAAATCTCTCATTCGATCGCAATAAAATCAAAAAATGAATTGTGTACTCATCAAACGCAGGACGAACATACCTAGGGTATATTTGAATGAAAAGCCATAGCAAAACAAAGAAGAATTACATGTTCGTCTGAAGAAGTGAAGAATTCATCGTCGAAAGAATTAGTATCTCTTCAAGCTTTAACACTAGAACTACCGAGCACTTGAACCATCTTTTGAACATTTCTTTATGACAGCTATAAGCATGAATGTATTAACATTTCAGTAGTTGGCTTATATTTCAGTTTAGGTATTGCTAAATCAGCTTCTTTAATTGTTTCTTAAAGAAGTGTCTTTACCTTTGCAGTAATTCTAAAAAAAGAAATTAGGAACTGGTCATTTTGACCCATTTGATAATTCTAATATTAAGATGATGTGTATATTCGTCAAGCGCAGTCAACGTGTTAATAGAATTAACGAAAAACAGTGTGAGTATGCGGATCTCGTAGGGTGGAAAGATGGCTGACACCTGAAAGAAGCCGAGAAGCTGTGCCACCGAGCACGAAATTGGGGCAGCTTGCGCAAACTAATGACGTCCAATTCAAATGGCGACAGTCACGTCGCGAACGATGAATAGCACGATCGACGGATACTCGTCTTTTCCGCGGGTTCTGCCGTGAGATCTTGCACAGGTCTCCCTTTGGACGGAGGCCAAAATTTCGTTCCCCTGTCCGCGCTGCGCACATGCATCGCGGCCATATTTCATTACATCGATTCCTTGTCACGTGTTTTGCCTATGTGCTATCGAATCCTCTTGACGCGGCGGCTCTGCAGCAAAACGCGGCTCTGGTCTACGCACTGAAGAGTTTTGTTCCGATGATCGAGCCCCGTGAAACGGATAGCTCGGCGAAACTAATAGCCTCGGATGGGATCAAGTTCGACGAGCACTCGCGAGTCAATTTCAATCCACAAATTTCGTCCTGTTATTGCCCGGGTTTCGCTTCGGTATTGTTACACTGACTCTGAACAAGTTTCGATAAACAAAAGCAATATTATTCGACAGATTGACCTGCTTTATGATGATCCCCAAAGCTGCGTTGATTAAATCGAATGATGAAAGTTTGAAAATATACCAAAAAAAGAAAACGTGGATTGGAAGTCAGTATTTTGTATTGAGTGTATCTGTATTTATTAGAAAGCTGAAAGCTTTTATCTAATTACCTTTTATTGTTAGATTCGAGTATACTTCATTGATCAGAATTCGTTAGGAAAAGGAAACATTACATTATCGTTCTATGTCTACGTTTGCTTTGCAGAGCTATAACTGATAATAGAAGAATAACATTTAATTTAGACTTGATGGGATTAAGTGACATTAATATTTGTTGAAGTCTAATTGAAATTTTCGTCACGAATCTGACACGGTATTGCAGGGCAAGAGGTTAAAGTATATTCTTATATATTGCTTTTGAAAATACTCATACTTGGATTCGAACCTATTTACAATAGACTGCATCCCATCTCAGCTAATAACCCAGGGAACCTGGTATAAATGCTAACTCGATGGCACCGTGAACTTAATGCGATGATGGACCTGACACCTGGGTTGATGTAATGTTAAACGCTCCACGCTTTATCTCCGGTTCCTTTGGTCCTGTGCCAAACTCCACCCACCTCTTTCTCACCTAGCATTGTCTCTTCAATTTCTGAGTAGGCGAAGATATCCTGGTGATGTTATGCTGTTTTTATTATATTCGCGGGAAATAGATACAGGTCTGGTTAACGAATAATTGATATTTATTTTATTTATTTTGTATTCCTTTCTGCGGTTTTATTGCGCAGATGTTTTCGAAATTACTTTTAGTTACTATACTATAGATCATTATGGGTTTTTGTTTGTTTGGATTTACCTGTTTCGTATTTGGCAACGAAAATGGACATTTGCGTCATATTCTGTGCTATTTTTCAGATTGCAATCAAAGCGGCGCGATCGATAAGAAGGATTTAGACCTCGCCGTGCAAGTAAGTAGTTCGTTTAATTATTATTTATGAAGCTGTCACTTAATTAAGATATTGAATCAAGACACTATTCTGGTTATAATATTTGTATGAAACAGTATTCATTAATCTGGAAGTATTAGACGTTGACGATAACGAAGTAGAAGATTTTTTTGTTAGAAATGAGGTTAAACTGAAGATCTTGTAAATATGATGTTCATAAAGTAGATTTTACTGGCGGAGATTCTAATCTCATTTTCAATTTTTAGCGAATCAGCGAGTGTAGAGGCTGGACTGCTGACAATCCCAAAGTTCAAAGCACAAAGGACAATTTGCTCAAAATGTGGGATGGTTTGAGGCAAAGAGCCGATGCGGATCAAGATGGCCAGGTAAGAAATTATGTACTTATATTTTTTATTGACATCAGTATTAGTAGTTTAAAAATCACAATTTTTAAACGATTAAATATTTCTTCGCGTCAATTAAAATAAAAACTTTTAATCGAAATTTGTGAAAGTGATTTATAACGTATAATTCAAGATACCTTCGTTTTAATTTTTTAATTTCATATCTATTATATGAAAACAATAACGGAATAAAATAGAAAAAATGTCTGAGTTACATATATTCTTAGTTATTTCATTTTTTAAATAATATTTCACAGGTCAGTCGAGAAGAGTGGTATTCATTGTGGGAAGAATATGCGAACGATCCGTCGAATCCATCCGAATGGCAGGAAACATACATGACTTTGATGTTCCAGTTGTTTGACGCATCTGGTAAGTTTGTTTCATTTCCGATTCTTCGAAAGGAAGAAACAATATTGCCGCGTTCTTTTTCGTAACGCTTGAAGGTTACGTTATACATTTTCATGGTAACGTAATATTTGCACATCGACGTTCGTATCTGAAAAATGTCTAAAAATTTCAAAATAACGACCACTCGACCGATTCAAAAGTATTTAAGTAGTAACTGCAAATAATAGACACTGAAATTTCAAGCAAAGAGTCAAATAAAAGACCGACAATAATTTTTAGTTTTTGAACAAAATAAAATTATAAAAATATTTAAAAATGTTATATCTGCAACATAAAACACTACGTCCAAATAATTAAGTTTATTTTACAACGTACATTGGGGAGTGTTACCAAATGTGTACCTCGTCGATTTCTTTTTCCTCGCTGTCCGTATACGAGATCCATCAAAAATAGGTAATAAAATACCTATAAAATAAAAAGACTCACGAAAAATCCTATGAACGATGTTCCAAGTACTAATAACTTACCAGGCGTGGGCGATTTAAAAGGCTTTCCAGAATGAACGATGGAAAGGCAAGAACCGAGCAATAAATTCCTCAGTTTCAGAAGCAAACGGCAATCGTGTGTCAATAAACCAAACCGAATCGTAAAAACGTGTTGAACGGTACGATTCCAGTAACTCTCCCATATTTCGAAGCGAATGGCGAATAAAGGAATTGATGTTGAGAAAATAAAATTAATCGTAAAAGAATTCAAAAGCTGTATGACCCGAAAATCCGCAGTGCTTGAACGCCGATTAAACAGATCTGTCGCAAATGTTCATTAGGTGACAAATCCATCGACGAGAACGAGTTCTGCAACGTCTGCAGATACCACGGGGTCACGGAATCCGAGGCCAGGGAGGCGTTCAAAAAATTAGGAGTCGTAAGTGGACAAAATCGCGTCGACGGCGATGCGTTTATACCTTCAGACTTGATTTTCGTACAGAATTACATGCACTTACCTAACAACAAAGTGTTGCCACTTAACACACCACTAGTAACGACATTTATTTAAAATAAAATGTGGTATACTACTTTTTGGAGAGAAATAGGTTCAAGGGTGTATATATAGCTGCCTGTCATAGTTTCAATATTTTATTAGGTACTGAATATAGTAAAATAGTGCACATTATAACATGCATCAGGTCTGAAGGCATTAACACTTTGAGTGCCAAGTTTATTTCGATTACAATCTACAGATTCTTTAATTTTGCGCAATAGTGTATATTCATTGCAGTAGAACCTCGATTATCTAATTTAATTCAATGTCTAGCAATCTAGACAAATATAAACTTAAAAAAATGTTTTAAATACTTACAAAATTCAATCGTATATAACCTGAGATATAAAATTCAAATTACAGTGTTAATAAATAACCAAAACACTGACTGAACCGGATCGTAAGAAATATTCAACTAACCATGATTCTACTGCACATTTAAAAAATGTCTTGCCACTATTTCATTGAACATTCAAACAAGAAAAATACAAAAATGGTCACTGCTTCACTAAACGAAATCTCATTTTCGAGAACACACCGCGAAAAGTCTCGCGATTCTCCCATATTAATGGTACTCAGCGCTCAAAGTGTTAAACGATAACCCGACTAATCCTACCGCACGATTTCTATTTGCATAGGGTCAGGAAATAACATGGGAGAAATTCACCAACCTCTGGAAGCAATATTTCTCCTCGGACGAGCCGACCACACCCGGAAACTTTATTTTCGGGAAAACTTCCTTCTAACTCGTTGTCCCCGCGGAACCGAGAGACGTATATTACCGTTTCCTTGCGTCGCATTGTATCGTCCATGTCTCTGATTTCTCGTGGTCAATTCGCCCGCCTCGTAAAACGGCCCAGTCGGATGTTCTTCTTGTTTGACAACGAAACAGAACGGGGGGGAAATGGAATAGAACTAGCAGACGGTTAATTTGAGTCCCATCAGAAGAAGCGGCCGCTACGGTTCATTTGACGCGGCGCCATTTCCGTTACTCTCGGCGTGTAAATAATCGTCCACGTGGACGATCAAATGGATAACCATCGTGGATCCTGGGATCCACGACGAGCGACCGGTGTTCGTTCGAGCAAAGTCGTTTCCCGCGAAAATCGTTTCCTGCGCAAAATTCCGTGCGCGCCGCACTTGGACAGCTGGCGGCTGACAAACCGTATTCTTCGCTGTGTAATGTTTGTATCCACAATTTAAATGTAAGAGAACGAAACTGTAATTGAACGTTGACCCAGTCTCTCTCCCACCAGTCACCGTTCGCTACCTTCGATCGGAAATTATCCGGACGATGAGTTCAATTAGCGAATCGCGTTTCCCTCCAGGTCTGCGGCCCGCCAGGCGGTATTTTCAGGGATTAAAGTAAACTTGTTCAGGGTGAAGAGCATCATACGCAACCGTATAGATTCAGAATTGTTGTGTCGCGTCGAACGGCGGACGTGAAAAGAATATTAGAAAGGAAAGAGTGATCAATGTTGGACGGTACTGCGAATGGTAACCTCGTGTAATCATCGGCACGGTGTCCGATTCAAAGCTTCAGGCGAGTCGTCGGCTTAATTAATTCCGCGCGAGCCATCACGGTCGGGGTGTTATCATATTTTAAACGAGTTGTCGGTATTGCCCTAAATGTGTCTTGCGTAGACATTCTATATGCTGTTATACTGAGAAGTAAAAGGAACATACGTATATATAAATATATATACCTACAGGAGTATAAATATAAATATAAATACAAATATAAATAAAGATATAAATAAAAGTATAAATATAAATATAAAAAATAACAGAGTTTACAAGAAATTACAATTACAGAAGTTTATAAATCCTTAATCGGTGTTGACTCGGAAAGCCAGTCGAAGGATTAAGTGCCAGTTACGTATTTGAATTTTAATCCGTTTAGCTGTCTGTTACTCGACTTTTCAATGAGATTCTTAGAGACGATACGTATTCGAAATGCAACAGGGAATGTGTCTTAAATAAAAAATATGTGGTTGGACGACTTTACGGGCAATGTACGTTTTGATCAAGAGAAAATGAAGGAGATGAGGAGAGGAGGAGCTTCTTGGATAGCACGCCATGTTGAATTCTAAATTATGTTTAATTTACCGTTTAGTCGATATTCAATTCTTGTTTATGTTTTGCGTAAAAGAAAGCGTTTCCTGTCTTGTTGTCGATGTTCTGTTTACTATTTGTTTGCTCGGTGCGATCATTAAGAATTTAAGAAATATGGCCGCCGCATGTTTAAATACGAAAGAGAGGAAGATTTATTTCTACCATTCGGAACTTCATTCTGCTTCGAGGTATCGAACAATAACGTCGTTGTCGCGATTTAACATAGTGTGTCATGTAACTCTGAGTGTACAATAAAAGGAAATTGAAAGCATTAACGAGGGAATTGATTTCTTCGATTTTCCGTTGTCATTCTACGTGAATGCAAATCGAGATACGGAAAATAACCGTTAAATGTAAAACATCTACCATTTCATTCGTGTACTGTTTCTTTTGGGAAACTTCTTTGGTCCTTAATTACAATTCACAGGTACGTATATTTACTTAAAAATCAAAAATCAAAAAAAGGTGACATTTTTTATACCAATATAAAAATGAAATATGAAAACGAATTTTTTTTGATAGAATTTTCTTTCTTACATATATTAAGTCCATAAAAACTAAATAATACACTATTATTACGAACTACTCGGTTCTCAGTTAGTAAAAAGTTGGATAAAATTTAGCTCATCAAAGAAAAAGATAAGAATATATTACAATCATGTATCACATAATCTTTACGAATTTTTTGTTCGCATTAAAGAGAAATTACGTTCATAAAACTGCTATTGAAAATAATTACAAAAGTATTCAATATTTTCAAGAATATTCTCAAACAATACATCTAACTGAAATTACACAAATACAAATATAATTAAGTTCCAGTTGTATCAACGTTTTTAAACATTTAATAATCGATTAATTCATTCCCACTCACAATTCTAATTTCAATTTCATCACATTTCTATGCTACATGGAAACACGATTTTGTTACATTTAACATTATACTCGGCCAAACAGAAATAAGCTATTGCAAAATTTAATTAAATCATGTTATCAATGAGTCAGATATTTAATTTGCTTTGCTATTCACTTACATTATTAATCACAGTCCGCGAAGATACATGAAGAAATGCATACGACCGAAGCATTGAAACACGTAAATAATGCCAGACACGGTCTGTTAGAAGCGACTATACAAAGTGCGATGATAAAAGTGATCTGTTGTTTATTATATCGGTTGTTTTAACGAAGAAAACGTATTGATACGTTATAGAAAGAAAAAGATCGATACGGTAAACGAAAGGGTATAAATTGTTCTGAGAACTCTTTATCGGAGGAAAAACAATTGTGTAAGTACTTAAATTTTTTGCCACTTTTCTTTTCGTGTTCAAAATATGTATTAATGATGTTATGGTACTTTGACTGCTTGCGAAACATGTCAAAAATGGCAGAAGCGAAAATTGCATGTAAAAGTCAAATACACGTTGCTTCAAAAATAAAGGCATCTATTAATTAAACTCTGTGGTTCTTAAATTTTTTCACATTATATACATAGAATGTCTATATAACGCTTATATATAGAAAATTAATGCGAATTATAAAAAGAACTTTTTTTTATAAAACATAACTTTTGGGATTATTTTAATAAACCTGAAAATTTACAGTAAATATTACAAATACTACAGTTTAAATATTTATTTTACATTCTATCTTCTTATTATATTGCGATCCGGATTAAAAATATTTTTCTTTCCGTTGCATTTTATTAACATAAAAAAGTTGTAAGAAGGAATAAAAAAAATTAAAAATAATTCTCAGAGAAGAGAATTTATTTATAATACAATACCATTAAATGAGAATTTAATATTATTGTATAACATACAATTATAGTTCTATTTTTGACTTTATCAATTTTTCACTTTCATTAATACGAAACTATAGCAAAAATACAGTACAAATTTAATTACATAATTCTTAGCGTTTTATGTTACAAAATAAAGAATAATAAATCAACAAACATTCTTAAGCTTTAAATTTAAAAAAATTTACAGCGATTAAGTCAATATATAGTTCGACAATTGAATTGACTGTCAATAAAGTATGTGACAGGCTTTAAACTAGCAGCACCATCTCACTACAAGAGCACAAAATGTTTGTCGTCTCGTAATCTAGTCTGTCAGAAGATTTGAAAACAAGATATGCAGGAAAATTCGGTAAGTACTGGAAATTCTTCACGTAAATTCGTCTTTTCTTCATCAATTAATACCGTTAATATTATTTTAATGCCCCAAATTTATCAACTGTCACTTTACCATTATATAAGGCTACTATTCTAACCTCAAATTGTTCCGTTTGCGTTCAGAACTTTTATAATTTAAATAGTGTTTGCCATGCGAATCCGTTATGTTCATATCTTATCGGCAATTACTATCATCGGATAACTGATAAAGTTAACTTGCTACCTTCTCGTTTCTAAAATGCTCAGTATCAATCAAACCTCAGGAAGACTCACTATGGTTGACCCAATCTCTATATGCAGTATTGCATATTATACTGAAGCCTTACAAGTTCTTCTATTTACGCAATATTATCTGTCAATGCAAGCTGTAGCTTTAGCCGATGTTAGGGTGAATGATACTGATAAATGTAGAGAGTGAAAAGTGTATTGCATGATTCTAACGCGTTGATTATTCGTTAAAAGTTACTGCCCCTTAAGGTGATACGAGTAGCAGCATAATGTAAGTATTATTAAGTATGTTTTTTCAAACATTGGATTTTCATAAATTAATAGTATTTATTTCCATATTTTATGTTTGAAAAGTTATGAATAAATTCATTATATATATTAAGAAAATTTTAAATAAACTAACTGTATATGTAATAATTATTAATAATGATCTGCATTAATAAGACATCATTCGTCAAATATTTTTACTCTAATAATATCAAATCTATTTTATAAAAGTAGGTACATATTTTTGATTTATATTAAAAATCAAAAAATACAGTATAAATCATTCACCTTAATGAAAATGTTCTAAAATTTATAATCTGAGGTAGTGTATTATATACACTACTGTAACATCACATATGTACAATAACATTTTTACAGGTTGGATTACAGTGATGAATTAGAGTTACAAAAAGAAGCTGACGAGGTGGATCAACTTGCCATGACTTCTTTAGGGAAACTAATATTTGTAGATATTCATTGTAGACATTCAAAGTCTTTGTCTACAGATAACACATCTGTAGATATTATTGATTCTTTATCACTTGCCTTTGAGCAATTGTTTTACATGCCATTTGACATGATTGAAAATTATGCTAATACAGTACATACTTTGGATATTAGTCATAATAAGTTTAGTAGGTAGGTATATATTATTTAGACTTTGCAGTAGATATTAAAGTAGCAAATAAGTAGAAAGGAAAGCAGTCTAATGAGACAAATATGTTTTATTTTGTTGTTCTTCTTTTTAGAAACTTACAATTTTTGGCTGAATTTGAAAATCTAACGTCTTTAAATTTAGATCATAATAACATAGACGAGTACACTGTATTCCCATATATGCCAAAACTTCAACTTCTATGGATAAATCATAATAATATAGAGGAGTTATATCCGTTCATCAAGAATCTCTATGAGAGTGTACCCAACCTCAGATATTTATGTCTTATGGGTAATAAGGCAGCACCGAGTTACTTGAATGGCGGAACCTTTTATGACTATCTTCAGTACAGGTACGAAAAGAAGAAACATGTATGACAATATTAAAATTAAGAATGGTGAAGTGACAAATATCTTTTTAAAACAAGGTTGTATGTCATATCTTGGTTCCCTCATTTGGTACATTTGGATGACAGAACTGTGACGACAGAACAACAAGAAGAAGCTAAGAGACTCTTTAAACGACCATTTTTAGAAAATTTCACTGAACACACTCCTCTTCCAGAATGCATTAAATATCTGCACAATAAAATAACAAATATATTTACAAAACCAACACTGCCATGCAAGCTAAAGACAAAGGGAACAAACTATATTATTTAATACAGTATTAAAATGTTACTTTTATTGTACTTGAAAGCTACTTACACAGTTACTAACATAGAATAACTTTTGTAGAAAAACATACTTTTTTGTCACTCAAAGATGGGTAACACTCAAAACTAACCATATGGGGCAGTAACAAATCAACAAGAATTTTATAATATGATATACTATGTATACTGAAGTATATGATTATATTAATCATTTTTATACTTCAGCATAAGCAGCATAGAGTATTAATTTACATATAATAAATTAAGGAAAATTATTACAATGAACGTAGAGCAATAACAGATTTAATTATACAACGTTTTGTATTATTTAATACTAATTAACAACATTTCAGCGGGTACTCAATTATTAATTAACTTCGAAAATATTATATACCGAACATCTGTTACATAATATATAGATACATATGTGTCAGCTCAGATATATTTTATACTAATGGCAATAATAAACTAGAAATAAACATTTATTTAATAAAATCATGTGCTCTTACTTTTAAACTGTTCAA